ATAGTAACATGTAGCTAATCATACTATGACACTACAAAAACTTGTGCACCCACAATGGGCCCCTCTGCCCCTGCCTTGGGTGGACACAAATCATGAGAATACACAGCTCAAGAAAGAAGAGAATTAGACTCCTTTTGGTTTGCATATTTGGTTTATCAGCCAAATATGTTACCAAACACTTTTCCCTTCAGCAAATTCAGTAGGTTTATCCATCACTTCCAAATGACCCTAACATTTTTTTTCGCAACAAGGAACAAATCTCATGCCTTTGATAGAATGACAGGGAGGGTAAGGCGTCTTTGCGGCCTGACTGTGTACACGTTGCTTGTTTTCCAAATGATACAGCTGTTAATATATAATGTCTTGGTCCGTGTTTGGCTAGCTCCATATCCCCAACCCTGCTCCACTTGTGCATGGGCATCTTACTGTAACCATGTGATGACAATGATGCCCTTTTTTGTTTTTTCAACTATAAGTTTTGCAATGCATACAACTTAAAGTCTTAAAGTGCCATTTCTTCTGTATATGGTTTTGATGCGTATGTTTTTTCCAGCCATTTTATCGCGACCACTCCATGCCCTACTTGTTGTCCACTACTTCCCAGTTGGTCCTAAATATAATTGCTGTTTTGCTGTCCAAAACTTGTCATACCTCTAGGATGTAGGGCACAAAAAATAAAGACAACATTATGGGAAGGCTGATTTTCATACCATCAGGTTTCCGGGTTCTCCCCTGTCTATAAGAGGATTTGCACTCTAACCATAAACTATTACTCATTTAGGTAACAGGCTTTCTTTCTTTGAAATATGAAAATATAATTTTATAAGTAGTATCCATAAGGGGGCTCCACCCATCTGAATTGCCTGGCTGACCCAATGACCATACTGTTGCAGTCTCGAAGTCGTCGTCATCATCATCATTACCCCGGTGCCCCAAAGGCTCCACCTACGGTGGGGTAAGGGTAGTCATGGACCTGATCCGGGTCGGGCCCAGGCTGGGCCTAGGCCCGGTCGGGCCTCGGGCTTTTTGAAGGAGGCCCGGGACCGGCCTGGGTAGCCACCGGGTCCAGGCCGGGGTCGGGCCTCGGGTCAAATTTTTTTTTCCTTTTCCTAATTAACCCCCCCACCCCGACCCCCAAATCACCCCAAATGGTCCAAAATACCCAGCCCAACCCGAAAAGATTTAAAACATTGGGAAAAAAAATTTAAAAGCCCGGAACCGGGCTCGAACCGGCCAGGTCAGTTCGGCTTTTGGGTGACCCGAGCCCGCACCGGGAACCCCCCGGGCCGGGCCTACCCGGACCGGTCACTGGCCGGGCCACCGGGCCGGGCTAGTTCAACATAGTACCGGTCTCGGGCCGGTTCCGAGTCGGGCCACCCGGCCCGAGTCCAAGACTGGGTAAGGGGGGGGGGGGGGTCGGATGTACGCAGTCTTACCCATGTACTAAAGCACATAGAGACTGTTTCAGAATGATTCATAGTGAAAATCACGTCGAAAATTGCATAGACTGATTGTTACTTCATAACGAAGAAGTGCTGACAGTTTAGTGAACCATTTTGCTTTATTCCATCATATTTCCAAGCCAAAAAATAGCGAGTCTTTTGCTTTATTTTGAGAGTAAAAGGTCAGTTTGGTCCTCCAAGTTGCATAAAAGGGTCAAATAAGTCCTTATATAGGAGGTTCTATGATTCTATCCGGCTGTCGCCATTTGGGGAGGTTCCCGGTGGAATTTTTTGATGAAAGTTTTTGAGCATCTTATTCATAAAGTCTAGTTCACTCATATCAAATTTCATATAAAATATCAATCAGGAAGACATTCAAATGAATTCTTGAAGATTACTGTGTAGTTAAAAGCGCAGTTATCTTCAAGAATTCATTTGAATGCCTTCCCGATTGAATTTTTAGTTGAAATTTGGTATGAGTAAACTAGACTTAATGAATAAGATGCTCAAAAAATTTTATCAAAAAAATCCACCGGGAACCGCCTCAAACGGCACGTCCGGACAGAATCTTCTATATAAGGACTTATTTGACCCCTTTTATGCAACTTCGAGGACCAAATTGTCCATTTACTCTTTATTTTGCAGTCTTCCCGAAGTATATTAGTAATTTTATAAGGTTTATTTTAGTGGATTTGTGAGGGGCCGATGGTGGGGTTTTGAATATTTTTATACCATCATTCATTAAATTTTTTTAATAGATATGTTTAATTATTTTTATGTCTAAAATGAAGTTTAGGACCATCGCAACCTTTCAAACTTAAAACTAATGATTGGTATTAGGTGTTTATGAAAGGATTTTTTTTTGTGATACCTGTTGTAACCACACACATATGGGTGCATATATATATAGATATAGTAATGGGGTGGTCTAACGGAACACCCCATAACAATCTGTTTATGAAGATTTTTCTTAAACAATCGATGGATTTCAGTGTTTAGTTTTAGTTTAAACAACAATGTTTGTGCTTGGTCTTTCAAGAGTTAGTCGTGATGAGTTCCGTACAACCCATCCACAAAATCCCGATTATTTGCTCCTAAACAAGTAAAATGCATCATAAAGAGAGATGGGGAAGGAAAACAGACACGTTGAGTTTGGCTCACTTGAAATTAAATTATTGGAAGAGATGTTGTCTTACTAATAATGATGATTAGTTAAGGAGTCTTATTTTAAATGCTTATTTTCAACTCATCCATTTTGCCAAATCTGGTCCCACCTTCACGTTCTTATTGAAGAAGGTTATACCCTTTAATTTCTAGTTTTTACATCGTCACTCTATAGCACAAAGCGTGCATTTTTACGTTCTACTGTATTTTAAGGAGTGTTTGCATTTGCTTTTTTTAAGCACTTTGAACCTTTTAGCTTTGGAAAAGCTAAAAATGGTGTTTGCTAACTCTTGATTCTGCTTTTTAAGTGATTTTAAGCCAAAATCTAAAAGCTACCCAAGTGATGCTTTTTAGTGATTTTAGGTAATGTTGTAAATAATTTCAACTTTAGGGATAGTATCATACCCACTTAAACCCAAAATACCCTTCATCTCTCCCACACCAATCTAACCTCCGAGCTCACCCCTACCCTAAGCTCTGCACTTCTTTCTTCCCCTTTCACCCCATGCACATACACATAAATATTACTCTGTATATATTCCAGAGGAAATCTAGATCCATGGGATTTTGTTCAAGCATGCCTTAATCGCTGATTTTCTGATCGCAAGGCCTCCAAATCCCCTTCCACTCTGTTTGATTTCAGTGATGGTGAAGACGGTGCCTCCTTGCGGCCATTGCGGTGATAGTGGTGACATCACTCAACGGCGGCGACCTCCAACACCGTCTTCGCTACTTCAATCAGATGATGAACTTCCATGCTTCTCTCTACAGAAGATTCTCTAAATAAAATAAATAATGGTAGATTTTCAGAGATAACAAACCCTGGGTCCATATAACATAACCAACATTGTCGTTACGGGGAAGACTCGAAACTCCGAAGACTAATTAAAGGAATAGGGCAGTTTTGTAGTTAACAAAAAAACTACATTAAAAATCACTTTTTTTTATCAAACACTCCAACTTTTACATTTTAACTAAAATCACTTCTGTTTCCAAACACTACCCACTTTTACTACAAATCACTTTTCCAATAATCTCTTAAAAAAATCACTTCTAAAAAGCACAAACAATCGCAAACACTCCCTTAATATACTCCGTATTAAACTTCGATTTGGTGTTTAAATTTATATTAATTTAGTGTTTAGTTTCCATAGTTGCCATTCTTTAATTTTGGTGCATAATTAACTGTTAGTTTTTTTTGTTGTGTTTTCTTTTACTTTAAAGCGCATGGTAATGATAGGTTTATTAAAAGGGTAGATTCTATGTTACCCATAAGATACCATACCTTTGTCACCCTATGAAAATGTAGCAGTTGAATTATTTAAATCTAAACTAAAAATGATAAAGTGATGTGGTCCAATCAAATGAATGATAGGTACGGTACCCCATATTTTAGAAAGGTACCGGAGTTGTCACCTTATTAAAAGATGATGAAAAAATCAAAATGAATAAGTTGGTTTAGGAGCGGAAAGTATAAAAGTAGCACATTTTAAATATTTTTCAATGTCAAAAGTAACTTAATACTTCGTATGTAAATAAGAATTTTGTGCGTGAACTCTTGGAGAATTTCTCACGCATTTACTGATTCACATACATAATTTTGATATAATTCAAAGTGTTTCATTACATATAAAATAACATAATTTAACGGACTAGAAAATGAAGTGAGCATAGGTAAGCTTAATTCCCCCACCCCCCACCAAATGCCATGATTTGGCAGAGTTCAACGAAACTGGCAAAGTGAAAATGAGACATTGATTGAGCAGTTGTTCCACTTACCCTCTGGAACCAGTACGACCCATATTCTTGATGACAACAACATGCTTGACTTGGTTTTCCATCTTCGACGAGCAACCGCCGACAAGAGGCTATCTGCTACAGAAAGGTGCTCTCTCAAGTGTAGAAAAGTGCTATATTAACAAGGTTACTCCTATAAGATTGACTTTTTAGGATAGAACCCCGTGTTTTAACTAATAGATTAGTTAAATAAGGACATTTGTGTATTTTTATATTTAAACCTTTTACTATAAATATATCTGCCAGGACTCCTTATGGGGTATCCTGTTCCATTATTTCACATGATATCAAGAGCACAGAATAAACCCTAAATTTTTTTTTCGGTTCTCCTCTTCTGCCGCGATGTCTTCCGCGATGCATTCTACTTCTTCTTCAACGGTGATCTCTTCCACCATGGCTATCGGTTCCTCTTCATCAACCACGCCAATCACTGATGATATCCCTCCCTCTTCACCAATCACCACTGGCGCCCTTCACCGAGGCACGCAGCCGGCTATTGGATCCAACCCGTCCGGAGTCGTTTTTTCTTCCAACTTCGTCTCACCACAGCGTACGGCCGGTGCTTATTCTCTTTTCCAGAACATTCCGCCGGTATTCTCTTGGCCGGCACCAACACCGGTGCCAAACGTGACCCTGGATCCACCTCCGCTCTCAGCGCCCACGTTTTCCGGAACAACGTTCGTTGGCTCCCCTGGGGTTTCTTCCACGGTTCCACCAACTCGCCCGGTAATATCCGCATCACTGGCTGCCTCCTCTCTGTCTGACTTGGTGCAAACTATATCCCATGTGGCTACCAATGTCACAAACATTGTTACTACCAAACTTTTGGCGGTGGAAGATTACACAATTTGGCGGACACAATTTGAATCCTTTTTGGTCTCGCAAGCTCTTTTAGGAATGATTGATGGAACTATTCAGGTATCTCCCGCTTATTTCATAGATGTTCTAAACCGACAAATTCCCAATCCCGAATTTTCTTTATGGTTACGTCTTGATCAAACCATCCGATCTTGGCTTTTTGCTACTCTTTCTCGGGATGTACTTATAGATGTTCGGGACTTAAAACACTCTTTTGAAATTTGGGAACGGTTAGAATCTCGTTTTATGTCTGCTAGTCTAGCTCGTTCTATGGAATTAAAGCGTCTGTTATCTCAACTCAAAAAGAAACCTGATCAGTCCATGGATAATTATTTGCGAGAGATTAAAATTTTGGTTGATGATCTTGCTACTATCAACTGCCCCGTTCCTCCCCGCGAAGTTTTAAAAACCACCATTATGGGACTTGGACCTGAGTATGAGTCATTGTTCACTACAGTGTCTCTATTCCCTCAACACTTTCCTTTTGAGACACTTCGCAATCATCTTCTTGAATTAGAGCAACGGGTTATTTATCTACGGTCACAAGAACAAACCTCCGTTCATCAAGCTTTCGATGCTCACATTCCTCAGCCCGGAGTTCAGGCAGGTCAGCCGCATGGCAATCAGCAGCAAAGTGGACAACAATCGGGCGCTCAACAGGTCCAACAACGTCCTCCTGGCTCTCATCAACGTGGTCGAGGTGGCCGCGGACGTGGTGGTAGAGGCCGTGGAGGACGCGGTCGGTGGGGTCGTGAACAGCAGCCCGTCCCCTATGGTTCCCCGGCAGGCTGGTATCCGACACATGCTCCGCCCCAGTTCTATGCTTCCGCCGGTTCTTATCCAGCCGCAGGGGGTGCATCTCACACTGGTACTGTATTTTGTAATTCTTCCGTGTCACATTTAAATATTAATGCCTTATCTGTTTGTGATACTAACCGTGGGTCTGCAGACTTATCACCAGCTAGGGGTATTCTTGGTTCAGTCCCTCCTCCTGTCGTCTGTCAAATTTGTTTCTCTGCAGGTCACTCTGCGATTACCTGTCCGTCCCGTTTCCAGCAACCATCTGCGCCAGCTCTGTTGATTACTCCCGGTGAATCTAATTCTGCACTATGGTATCCGGATTCCGGAGCTTCTACTCACATGACCGCCTCAGAAGGTATTTTGCTTAATAAATCTCCCTACACTGGCTTTAATTCTGTTAGTGTTGCTAATGGTGCCCATTTGCCTATTTGTAATATTGGTGATGTTGCATTACCCTCATCTGATAGACCCCTCACATTAAAATCTGTTTATCATGTGCCTCAGTTAAAATTTAATTTAATTTCGATTCAAAGACTCTGTGCTGACAACAACTGTACTGTGATTTTTGATAAAAATTCTTTTTTGATTAAGGACAAAGCCTCGGGGGCAGTACTTCTGCGAGCTACCAGTAGCGGTCCTCTCTATCCTATCAGTTTGCCATCATCACCATCTTTTGCCTTAGCTTCCGTACTTGCTTCTGGCCCTGTGTGGCACCGTAGATTAGGCCATTGTAGTGATCATGTTTTGCAGTTTCTTAAACGTCAACAATTTTTATGTAATCACACTCCTTTTACCCATGATTGTGTTGCTTGTCGGTTAGGAAAATCACAACGTTTGCCCTTTAAGGATGCTACTCATATTTGTTCTCTTCTGTTGCAAATTATTCATTCTGATGTGTGGCAATCTCCTATTTCTTCTAATTTGGGATTCAAGTATTATGTATGTTTTATTGATGATTATTCTCGATTTTCTTGAATTTATCCAATGTGTCACAAAAGTGAAGTGTTCACTCATTTTAAGAATTTTAAAGTTCTGGTGGAAAATCTTTTTAACCAGAAAATTAAAATTTTTCAAAGTGATGGAGGCGGTGAATTTGTTAATAATAATATGCAGCAATTTTTTACCGCAAATGGCATTTATTTTCAAAAATCCTGTCCTGACACACCCCAACAAAATGGGGTGGCTGAACGCAAACATCGGCATCTTCTAGAATTAACTCGCACTATGCTTCTTGAGGCTTCTGTACCGAGTCAATTCTGGGGTGATGCTCTTTTTACAGCTGCATATATTATTAATAGGTTACCTTCGCCTATTTTACAAGGTTTCTCTCCGTATCAGAAACTCTTTCATCGGATTCCGGATTATTCTTTCATGCGCGTTTTCGGTACGACATGTTATCCCAATTTTTCAGCCACCTCAGCTAATAAACTCTCACCACGGTCCGTTCAATGTATTTTTCTTGGTTATGCATCTGGCTACAAGGGTTATGCACCGGTCGTGTTTATGTTAGTCGTCACGTACGTTTCCATGAGGATTTATATCCCTTCAAAACTCTTGCTCACTCTGGAACTTCTATTCCTCCTACCTCCAAACCGTCTCCAGCAACCTACACTTCCCTACCCCTTAGTCGTGTCAGCCACGCCTTACCCATACCCAGTCAACCAACGCCTGTCAGCTCCCCAGTCCACACCACTGTCCGAGATCTTCCCCTATCCCCTGTAGGTCGTACCCTACCTCTCTCCAACCAGCTGTCCTCCTCTGCCATCACGTCAGGAACCTCCTCCCCATCTGCCAGGAGCTTGTCTCCACATCCCTCCTTTATCTTAGACTCGGCCACCAGCAGCTCATCTGAACTCGAAGAACTCACACCATCTGCCCAGACCGAATCCTTATCACCTGCCCCTGTTTCCGCAGCATCACAACCCGTGGCTAATGTCCATCCCATGCAAACCCGTGCTAAAGCGGGCATTTTTAAACCAAAAACTATTTTTAATTTAAGTACGGTTGTTCATCAGGCAGATCCTACTTGCTTTACTGAGACTAATAAACATTTAAAATGGAGGGAAGCAATGGCCGATGAATTTAATGCTCTCATTAATAATAATACTTGGGATCTGGTGCCCTTTGACAACTCTAAGAATATTGTTGGTTGTAAGTGGATTTATAAAACCAAATATCATTTTGATGGGTCAGTTGAGCGTCATAAAGCTAGATTAGTTGCTCAGGGTTTTAATCAACAGGCTGGTATTGATTTCTCTGAAACATTTAGTCCTGTTATTAAACCCACCACTGTTCGTATTGTTCTTACTCTTGCGGTTTCTTTTGGATGGGTTATTCGTCAACTTGATGTTAAAAATGCCTTTTTGCATGGTCATCTTACTGAAGAAGTCTATATGCGTCAACCCCGTGGCTTTATTCACCCTCAGTTTCCTAATCACACGTGTCGTTTGCGTAAGGCTATTTATGGTCTTAAGCAAGCACCACGGGCCTGGTTTCATCGGTTTAGTAGTTTCTTGTTACAACATCATTTTTCTTGTAGTAAATCTGATAATTCCTTATTTATTTATCGCCATAATAATCATATTATCTATTTATTATTATATGTAGATGATATAATTATTACTGGTAATTCTGAGTCCATTATTGCCCACTTTGTTACTATTATTTCTAATCATTTTGCTATGAAAGATCTGGGCAATTTGCATTATTTCTTAGGTGTTGAAGCAACTAGATCTCCTCACGGTTTGTTCCTTTCTCAGAATAAATATGTTACTGATCTTTTAGCTCGCTTTCATCTTCATACTGTTAAACCAGTTCGCACTCCGTTAGCATCTCGTACTACTCTATCCCTATCTGATGGTGAGCTTCTCTCTGACTCCACTGAGTATCGAAGCATGGTAGGTGCGTTACAATATTTAACTTTGACACGGCCTGATATTACATATGCGGTACATTTAGTGTCTCGTTCATGCATGCTCCATGCACCACTCATCTTTTTGCAGTCAAGCGAATTTTCAGGTATTTGCAGGGGACCCGTGATCATGGACTATGGCTTCTGCGGTCTAATAAACCCACTTGTGTCGTTGCTTACTCAGATGCAGATTGAGCCGGATGTCCTGATAGTTCTCGATCTACTACTGGTTTTGCCATTTTTTTGGGCCCTAATCTTATCTCATGGAAGTCCAAGAAGCAACCCACTGTGTCATAGTCCTCTACGGAAGCTGAGTATCGTGCCATTGCGTACACTGTTCAGGACACTTTACATATCAGATCAGTTTTATCTGAACTCGGCTTCACTATTACCGAACCTGTGCATTTGCTCTGTGATAATATTTCTGCATCCTATTTGACTGCTAATCCTATTCAACATGCTCGGAGTAAACACATCCAGATTGACTATCATTTTGTACGCGAACGGGTTGCTCATGGAGACCTGATTGTTCAGCATGTTCCCACTCATTTACAATTGGCAGATATTTTTACAACCTGCGCGTTGTTTCTCCCGCACAGCTTGAGGGGGTGTAATAGATTAGTTAAATAAGGACATTTGTGTATTTTTATATTTAAACCTTTTACTATAAATATATCTGCCAGGACTCCTTATGGGGTATCCTGTTCCATTATTTCACATTAACACCTCCGCCACGTTTGGGATCTTCTCCCCACGAATGAGTCATGAGACCACGTGAAGCTGGGTTGTGATGATATGATGAAGGAGATGACGAGTGCATACATTAAAATACCACTTTACAAAATGTTAGGATGACAAGCCAAGCGTGAAAATATGATAGGCCAATCGTTTCTCCGTAATATAATAAGAATTCAATTGGCTAGTTCCTATCTGCTGATTGCTAAACAAGGTTATTGACTATGTGCATTTAAAGCTACATACTATAGCTACCATAAAGTTTCGAACCCATCACTCATTTTGTTCCAAGTCATTGAAATATCATTATCGCAATTGTTGGCCTGGATGCAAATTCTCCAACCACTATTGCCTCTTCTGAAAATCCCCACCAAACGAGATGCATTAATTGCTTGCTTAGAGGGCATGCTAACATGAGAAACGCTAACCTCATCTTTCTCTTCAAGAACTTGTCATATTAAACAAAATTAAATTTAATAATCATTTTTCATACAAATATAGTTTTCCTCACAACATTTTGGACTTTCCTCATAAAGATTCATCTTTTGATCCTTCACATTTTTGTGCCGTGTTAGATCATTCTATTTCGGAGCTGAAGTTGTTTTTTCAGGATATTATGAATTCGAGTGTGACCAATTTGACAACTTTTCTTTCAAAAGAGTATGAACGTATCATTACACAACTTCACGAGAGCCAGGGAAATAATCCACATAAGGATGTGATTGCTACTGAACAAGGGAGTTCTGGCAAGGGGGACTTTCAGTCAGAAAAGATCAGAGAAGATACGACAGTTTCCAGAGTCTTTCAGTTGGCACTTTGAGCGCCAGAATTTCTCAAATTGTGGAGTTCTAGAGCATGACTCTTGGGGCAATGGACCATTTGATGATTCAGGGGATACATATCTTGGTCACACTTCAGAGTTCGAATAAAAAGCGTACTCCTATATCAATGGTGGACGATTTATGGGATTTTGAATCTAATCAGAATATTTGTATAAGGCATTGCTCGTTACAAGAGATAACTGTTTGCCTACAAATAATTTGAGCATACAAACTAACAGAAAGAGGACTCCATGTTCACATCGAATGAGAACGCGATCTCAAACTCGTGAGGAGCGTTGAGGTTATCACTATTGACAAAGGGTGTCAGGGTCAATTAGGTTGGGCAAGAATGTACTTCGGGTTGGGGTTTTCTTTTTCTTTTTGTTGGTTTCCTTTTTCTCTTTGGATTTCTTTTTGTTTTTTTCCCTCACTTGTACTCCTTTTTTTCTTATCCTTAATAAATCTTCCTTGCTTAAAAAAAGTTTTCTAAGATACTTTCATTCACAAAGCAAATTAGTAGTTACTTAAAACTTTTCAATTTGTATCAACCCCTTAGAAATTAGATATACCATCTCTGCCATAGGGAAAAAATTGTTATCCCCTTTTGTTACTTCTTTCAAAATCATAAAATTTTTAATATTCCGACAAAGAAAATCCCATAAAACTCTTGATTTCATACATGTCTTTATAAAACTCTTGATATATACTCAACTTGAAAACATTTTACAATTTATGTAATTTGAGTCATTTGACCAACCACCTCTTATTGAATTAATAACCAAATAAGTATGTTAAATATCAAAATCGTGTTTTTAGTAAATATGAGGTTTAAATCATTGTAACGAAATAAAGTCATACTCGTATAGTAAAACATGTCTATCCCTAAACATTACTAAAAGAAAAATCACAGACAAAGATGTGACTGAAGTGACTATGATTGTATTTTCTTATCACTATGTGTAAAATTTGAAAAGAATTACAATCAATGATAATTATTAAGTCATTTTTTCCCATTATCCTTAACACTGATAATTTACTAAGTCATTTTTTCCATTATCATTATTTTGGTCATACATATATGTCTCCTAATTTAATCTTCGGAGCCTCATTATTTTGGTCAATTACACTACTAGGTCTCCTAATTAGGTTCCCAATTTAACTTTTTGAGTCAAATTTTATAGACTAGTTATTCAGAACTCACATTACTTTGTCATCCAAAATTAAGTTTATATACTTCATTTATATATACATTATTCAAGTTTTAATTTATTATAAATTTTATAATTTTTTTTGTATATATTTAGGGTTAACCTTTCACTAATGGACTGTAAATTAAAAGTCAAGCTGGCAATTTAATTACCGGACGGAGGTAGTAAGTGGCTAAGTTCTACCATCAATCTTTATAATCTTATTTAAGAAAAGAATGAAAGTTCTTTTGTAGAATTAGGATGGTGTAATAGCGTTGTCTTCAAAAAAAGTTTTGGATAAAAGTAAGAGTATTTTGGAAAGCATGTGCGATCATATGGTGGTTGGCCCTTTTCCAGCCCCACACCCAAAACCCAAGAACAAAATCTCCTTTTCCTTGAAGGATACACCTCGAATCGCCATAAGGTGTTCTTTACACGCATTTTGTACATGTATAAAACTTATTCAACCTTGTTATTATGAATGTTTCAAAAAGTTTATCACGCAATTGAAAACGTATTAAGATTATTCAATCTAACGATTATGAATGTTTCTAACTTTCTATGTGGAGTACGACGAAAAAGTTCACATGGTATATGTTGTTGAAGAAGAGAAGCTTTCAAAACGCATTTAAGTAATTGCATATGTACGCTATTTGACTAGATGGGTGTATGCAAGGTCACAAAGTAGTGTACAATTTATAATATAAGTTGAATAAAATTCCATGTACACATTTGTTTATATTTTACGTAGTACTTTTACATATAATACAAAAGCCGAGGCCTACCCCGAATTTGAAACTGATAGCATCACTCATGATCATGACGCCTCATAGCGGGTTTGAATTTTGAAATATGCTATAGAAGCTTGTGTGATCCACGTTCCCCGGGATTTAAGAGTTTTTCTGTTTAGTGTTAATTTTGACAGTTATTTTATGAACGCTTCGTTCCCAAATCAATGATGCAAGCTTTTTGAGGTTGTACATTGTACCTTGTTCAATTGCAAAAAAAAGTATTCATTCGATTGATGGCATGTTAGTCCACCCCTCACAAACCATCACTATCGTGTGAAGGGGCTTGTGGCTATGATTTGGAAGGTTAAAAAACATGAAATAATCATCATTGGTGTTCATACAAGGGTGTTCTTAAGTTGAATTAGGCGAGGGAGTTCATAGTTGAACTTTGATGCCTCATTGCTGTTTTACATCTATAATTTTAGGAGACGTTGATTATTTCTTCAATTTCATTTATTCGAATTGAATACTTCACATATACTACGTATATTGTTTGTTTATTTGTTTTGAACTTGATAAAAGGGTTGGGGTTTTTACATTATTTCGTATTAGCTCAATCGGTTGGTTATAGGAAAGTTTTGTTATGACTAGATGATAGATCAATTCAATTTGGTTTAATTTGCTTGGTTTCATTGTACGATCCAAATTAAGTTATATCTTGTGTTGAGTACTTGAGTCACATGGTCCTGTTCTAATCATGTTTGGTTTCAAATTTTAAAGGCATGCGTTTAACGATAAAACCATTTGTTTTTATAAAAGGCTAGGGTTGTCAAATTTTTGTTGCGTCTTGTTCTTCATCTAAGAACTCTCAAAGCATAGCGAAGAGCTAGCTTTGATGGTTGAGCCTTAGACAACCATTAGACAATATCATCTTAATGTAGTGAACTCAAGGGCGCTTATAGATACGGAGCAGATAATACAGTTTTTCTTTTTCAAATTTGGGGTGGATTGAGGTCCAAAGTCCAAACAGCCCCTCATTAGCTCTGCTCCGTTGCAGGTAGTTTTATGCCGGGATATTATCCGAAATAGGACTAAAAAAGTTTGAAAATTCCAAAATAGGACCGACATGTTTTTATTCCCAAAATAGGACTAATTACTGTCATGTTTTAGCAGTACCAGACTTCAAACATGACAGTATTTTCCAAACTTGGCAGTAATTACTCCAATTTTGGGAATAAAAAATATATTAGTCCTATTTTGGAATTTTCAAACTGTTTTAGTCCTATTTCGGGAACTTTCCCTTTTATGCCTCATCTTTTTATAGTGAATAGCAACAATCATATTTTAGCTAGCTTTGTTATCTTTGAGGTGCATAGAAAACATTTGACCATTTTTAATATTTTTAATAAGTGAAAATGTTGTTCGATAAATAATTATTTGGTCGCATCATTTTTGTACAAAATCGTTGAAACAAAAACGTGTTTTGAAATACTATGACATTTCTTACCAATTCCTGCGACCAAACAGTTAAATTAGCAAACTTTTTTATAATGTTTTAGGACTCGAAGTTTCATCTCAAAGATCAACCTAATAGGAGGAGTTGCTCAAAGTCTTATATAGTGTTTTCTATTCTTATAGTTTTCTGGTGTGAAACAAATTAATACTTTAACCTGACACGCAAATGTGAGATACTTCATGAACTCGTGTGCAAAAAAAGCCAGCCATAGCATTTGATGAACTTTACAAACAGTTATTCTCAGAAATTGAACCGGAAACGTCAAAACGAAAGACCCCCACAACCACTAATGAGCTACATGTGTGAATATATTTTATTATACACAAATGGGAGGGTGCGTGACAATTAATCTGTTTCGAAAGAATTAGAGGTGAGGGTTGAGGAAATGGACAAAAAAATTAAAGTAAATAGTGATATGATTCTCAAGACCTTTCGCCTGAGCTTCCAATTCCAATCACTTTAATTAATTAATTAATTAGCTGCGCTTTCTCTCTCTCTTTCCACAAAACAAACATGTGTGTGTTATAAGTAGATCCCTCGTGTCAGAAGATCACACAAGAGAAGGCAAACCAACTTTTTTCCCCTTTAATTTGTTCTTCTTTGTCTTTCATTGCCAACAGCCTATCCGGCCCCCTCTTTGTCCGAGGAAAATCTCTTTATCTGTTCATTAATTAAAACTATAATGTTTTTTTTCTTCTTCTTCTAATACATATCCAAAGTCCAAACCCTAAACCCATTCTTAATCTGATGGCCTCTTCTCCTTCGCGCATCACAACTCAATTCACTCGCAACTTTCTTCGGTCCCTCCAACGCCTCAACCGCCGCCACAACTCCGCCGACTCTCCGCCCCCGACTCGGTGTAGGCGATACCGCAAGATAAAGCTCGCCGCTTACGCCTCCATGGCCTCCGCCGTCGGGACCGACCGGGCCTGGAGCCGCGCCCTGCTTTGGAGGATCCGCACCCGAGCTTCCCTCCACCGCGTCCCAACTAAATCCAGGCTAAAACGCGACGGTAATGATTCAATAATCCTAAAAGTCAACTTCAGTTGTGTATTCTTTCTTCCTTCTTAATTAAAATATTTTGACCTTTACTTCCTCCTCCTATTTTTTAGATCTCCCAAAATAACTTTTCATTTTCTCTTTTTAGAAAATATTGTGTAATCAATAGAAATAAGGATCAAATTGGACATTATGTTCCATAAAAATCATATGAATGAAAAGTCCTAATATATATTACGGACAGGGCCGGCCCTGGACAAGGGCAGGCCGGGCTTGTGCCCCGGGCCCAACATTTATAGGGACCCATAATTATATATAAATGGGTAAATATAGAGAGGACAATTCATACCCGACTGATGTCATTTGGGGCCCTTTATGGAGGAATTTTTTTATGAAACTTTTTTAGTGTATTTTTCATCAAGTGTAAATTACATTTACAAAATTTTAGTTTAAAAATCAACCGGAAAGTCAGTTAAATAAAATATTGAAGCACACTGCACTTTGTGTATATAAATAATGCGCACTATATTTCAATAATTTATTTAACTGACTTTTAATCTAAAACTTTGTGGAGATATTATAGATTTCATGAAGAATATATTTAAAAAAAATTCATGAAAAAATTCTATCGGGAAGGGCCTCAAAGGGCCCCGGTCTGACATCATTTCCCGTTAGGCATTAGCAGGCCTAATTTCAAGGTTTCATCTTTGGACTTTAATTCGTTTTGCTCAGCAATCAACACTCTCCTAATTTTCTCAAAAATATCTTCCAAATTTGGAATTTCAATTTCACAAGTAATTCTCTGGTTTTATTTTTTATTTTTTAATATAATTTTTATTCGTTTAGTTAATACGAAGTATATTAAGACTTTGATGAAAGACTTACATTACTTTGTATGTTGAAATTTGTGTATATAAAGTTAAGCTTTTGCAATATATTTCTATAACCTTTTAAGCGCCTTCTTTTTTTCAATCGCCCCGGGCCCATAAAATATCAGGACCGGTCCTGATTACGGAGTATTAAATTGTTAAATATTAGAAGTTATTAATTAAAATCAATATATATTCTGGAACTTCAAATTAAATATTCTAAAATTATATACGTAATTAAATTAGTTTATTTTCACCTAAAAGAAAAGAAAATATAAGACTAATGTTTTTTATTAAAGGAAGAAGATCGAGAATCATATATAAGTGAGTGTCTAAAAACTATGAATCATGAAACTTCAGTGTCTAATATGAGATATATATGTAACCATAGTGTCCAATTTGATCCATTTGAAACCTTAATGTCCTATATGAGATTCTCATAAAATCATAGTGTCCAATTTGAGCTTTATCTCATGACTAATATTCATTAACCTTTTTTTACTCAATCAGAATAATACGTTTTCACTTCAATTCCACTTTCTTAAATTCTGATCCAATTAAAACTGGGACGAAAATAATCAATATTCTTAAATATTAATAATGTAAGATTCTTGTTTCTATTTTACAAAATAATTAATATTCTTAAATGTAACTTAATCACTAAATATAAAAAATAATGCATCTATAAATATTGCAGTTATCATGAATGATCTTATTATATTATATACATATATATCTATCAAAAGTACTTCTCAAAATATATATACTCAAATTATCTTATTTAATTATTTTCTAAATGTTCGTGTTATTTTGCAATAAGCAGGACGGAGGTAGTAGGTATATTAATATACTAATATTTTAATATATTATTCGTAATGTATTTTGATTTTAACTAATCAGTGTTTACTTTGGTTAATAATATTCATAATAAAGCTTGGATTAATCGATAATATATTCATATATACAAATACTTATAATACTTAAAATATTAAAATATATACTGCTATAAAAGTATAAAGTTTATACATTTCTCAAGAGCATATATACTATTTAAAATAATTGGTCACATTTTATTATCAATCGTACTATCTATAAAATGTATTTGTCTTAAAATAAGTGTTAAAAAATGATTTTTATATTCATTATTATCGATACTAAATTAAATATATCATGAAATAATGTTCAAGTAAAATCTGAATGACCACATGTATCATATACAAAAATTGATCACCAACTGTCCACTAATTTAATATTCAGTTAAAAAACAAACTTCCACTAATATGATCAACAATCATTTACAAATATAAATAATGTAATTATTAGTAATATATTTTACTATGGAGTAATAAATTACTTAAATAAAATATGCATACGGAATGCGACATCCTAATACGTGGTGAACTGGTGATATATAGCCATTCTTGATTTTTTCAAGAGTAAAATTGAGAGTAATTCTTAGAGGAATTAATTAGTTATTTCCATCTTTGTAAGGTATGCCAGAATAATTAAACTTGACCACAATTAGTTACTGATCAATTTACTTATATTTTAAAATATATAGGTAAATTTCGTGGTGGGAGGAATGAGACAAATAGAGGATGGGATAATACAGAAGAGCTTCGGAAGATTGTTCCAGGGGGTGAAGCAATGGATATGTGCTGTTTGCTGGATGAAACTGCCCATTACATTCAGTGCCTTGCTTCTCAGGTCGAGGTCATGAGAAATATAGCAGATTTATTTTCCTCATCCTCAAACTAATTAAATTTTTCAACACAAAAAAAGAGGAAATTGATCGTAAATACGAAGTATATGAAACGCTATTTTTAGCATATATTTATGCGTGAATGTGTGGTATATATATGTACCAGAAGCTAGGCCGGTGCGTGACCTCCCACCAGCAGCCAGCCAGCTAGAGGTTGAGGGTAATTAAGGAATTAATATTATTGTTGTTGTTTATAATTACCATTCATTTTCCAGAAAAAAAAAATATTGAGATCAAATCGAGGAAATAATACAATACGGAGGTACTACTGTAATTATATATACATGTGCGGCAGATTTCTCATGTACACATTTGTGATCTGATATGATCTTGATCTTGTGTTTAGAAAGCTAATCTCATTTATTCTTGTGGTTAAAAATATCTATATAAATCACTTTTGTATATCGGTAGACATTTAGAGCATGTTTGGTAACACTGAAATCAGATGAATCGGCTGATTATTCTGCTGAATTTTATGAAATTCTGGTCGAAATGACTAGATTGACTGATTATGTTGATTTATGAAAATTTATATTTAAAGTATATTTTCTTTATAAAACAAAGAAAAAATTACATAATAAATAGCTAAATTGGTTCTCTACTAGTCTACCATAACTTCAACCATATTTTTTCTTATTATTACATAACTTAGCGCGCGAAATCAAAATTTACTTGTTTGTTGAAAAATTGGTTGAGAAACCTGATAAGCCGAAAAATAGGAACACCAAACAAGCGCTTATTGTTTTCTTCCATAGTTATATAACCCTGGATTTTTTTTTTGAAACATACTTATGACACATTTACTTGACGGATTATTAAACGGTGCTTATTAAGACTAGCGCGAATAAGCGACACATAAAATAAGCACTGTTGTAAGTTCATGTTTACTTCAAAGGATTTAAAACACCGTTTAACATTAAGATATCCAAAATAACCCTACACATATATAGACACACAAACATTCATGAACACATGTATATAATATAATATGTGAGAGTCACCTCGTATGCTTACTCATACTCATATCCCTAACCCCTACCACACCCCTATACCTCGTACTCCCCACTCCCAGGGGTGGGGTTGAGGTTGGGGCAGGTGGTAAGGGGTGGGGTCGGGGTAGCATGGGGGGGTCTGGTTGGGGTGGGGTCGAGGTAGGGGCAGGTGGTAGGGGGTAAATGGGTAGGAATCGGTGTAGGGTAAGTGGTAAGGGTGGGGTAAATGGTCGGGGTGGGGTGGTAAGGGGGTGGTGCGGTCGAGGTAGGGGCGGGTGGTAAGGGGTAAAGAGTACTGGGGTCGGGGCAGGGTAAAGGTAAGGAGTGGGGATTGTGGGGGTAGGGAAGGGTAAGGGGGTGGGGTCGGATGGGGGTTGTGGTAAGGGGGCGTAGCGGGTAGAAGGGTAGCAATAAGATAATGGCAAGGGGTAATGGTAAGGGTAGATTCGGAATTTGAAAAAATTTAAAGTGTCGCTTAATTAATATGAGGGGTGATATGATTATTAAGCGGCACTTTAAGCACATTTTTAGGTTAGTAAGTTGCTTTTTAAACAATAAGAACACTAATCGGTTGAGGAGAAATCAAACGAAGATGATGAAGCCATGATGTCGTTGGATTCTCTAAAGATACAAGCGGATTTCGATGGATTAAACGATCTTCCTTGGGTCTCCTAATAAAGGTGTTCTTGAGCAGGGGCGGATCATGGTTAGGGCAAGGGTGGGCTCCAACCCAGCCCAAATATTTTTCTTTTAATCAGTATAGGTAAAGCCCAAAGGTCCAGCCCATCCCAAATTTAATCCCAGCCCAGCCCAGCCCAACTCAAAGGCGGAAGTTTGGAAGCAAAAACCCAAGATTTGGGGAAGAAGATGCATATCACAGGGAATCGAACTCACAACCTCTAGCAAGAAATTCAGCATCTTATAGGCTGCTCCACCCCAACATGTTGCTAAAGTCTGCTCCTTTGTCTATATTACAAAGTACAAACCACAACAACATATTTAAGCATTAATTAATTAAAAAAATTATAATAAAAATAACAATACAAACCCACCGATTTATACTTCCCAGATATGTACTTCGTATAGCATATTTCAATTATAAGTGAAAATTTATTTCTATTTATGAGTAGTATATTTTTAAGATTTTGTACGAGTGCTTTTTTAAACATTTTTTAAAGATTTGAAAATTAGAGAATGATTTATTTATTGCGTGAACATGCAAGAAGGAATTAAAAAATTTCAATTGAATTTTGAAATTGGAAATACTTATAAGGTTCAAAACCGTATTTTTTCTTATTAGTTTTATAATTTTATAGAAGTATTTTATACTTTTAGCTTTTAGGTTTAAAAATGCAACCGTATCTTATTAGTTTTTTCAATATTGAATATAGAAGTTTAGGCAATACTTTTTAGTAGATTCATGTTCGAACTATTCAATAAATACACAAATCTTTAATAATGATTAATAAATTCTAAAAATTGCACTAAAATGTTGAAATGTAGAGATATACTTCGTATACTTCATCCGCTCTCTTTAAATTGCAACAGTCTACTACTCACGTTTGCTAATACACAAGATTAACCATTAACGTCTTTCATTGATTGTTAGTAAAAAATTAAAAATATCAGATTTTGAAAATTTAAAACGAGAGCAATTCAACAAATAATTTTCAAAAAGTTGATTTATATAATACATGAAGAAATAAAATGTAGTCAAAGTAGAGTATGTGAATAACGTGAAATTCACGAATATTGCAACTAAAAAAGAACCGAGGTAATACAATTTGTTTCTATAATTTATAAGTGAACAATATGCTCGATTCCATATCGAACTAAACATCACTATGTCCGAATTCGATTTGATTTATTATTCAAACTCAAAACGTAGTCTGTGTTCGAGTTCGAAGATCATTAAAGTCGGGTCATTAAATTAGATTAGAAATTAAGATCAAACTCGAGCATACAGTTTGAAAAAACTCTGGTAACAACCCTAAGCTAAACCTTGTATGCATAGTACAATTTTTTTTATCGCTTAGCCCACCCCATTTATTATTCCTGGATCTGCCCCTGTTCTTGAGCCCTTTGGGAAGAAACGCGTTCGGCCGTTTTAGTCGTAAGAATGAAGCACGACTGTTTTATCTTGTATCAAAGAGAAATCCTTTTGGTCTCTTATGTACTATCCTCCGTCTCTTTTTAATCGCAACATGTTGAATTTTACATTATTCACATGTTCTACTTTGACTACATTTTATATTATTATTTTATGAAAATTATTTTTTTTAAATTATATTGTTCAATTCATCTCATTACAAATTTTCAAAATCTAATTTTTAAATATTTTTTACTAATAGGGATTAAGATATAATTACGGTCAAAGATGTGCGTTGGCAAGTGTGAAATGTTGACCGTTGCAACTAAAAAAGAACGGAGGAAGTATTATTTAATGTTAAAACATACCCATCATATGTTAATTATACATAAATACAAGGACCAAATCTGTCATATGACAAACTTAATGGTAAGACATAAATGTCCCCAATATATATTAAATTGTATAAATGGTCCAAGGTCATGAATATTTTCCAACAATGAATTCTAATTAGGGAGTATCATTTAGAGAACAAAGTTGCATTCGATCAATGATGTGGATATTTCAACAAACCCTCATGGAAAGGAATACATTAATTGCTAGTTCATTTTTAACCTCACAAATTGGAATGTTATACGTAGTACTAAGCAGATTATGGTATTTGTGCTGTATTGTATGTTTGCCATCGATCTTATCGCGATCAATTATGTGTAAGCTGATATACATATACATATAATATACTCCCTGTTCTTCTTTAATTTAAATGCAATATTTAACATTTTCAACTATTCACATGTTCTACTTTGATTCCATTTTATTGAATTGAAGCGCATTGTCAAATTGGAGCGTTTAACAAGTGAATCTGAAACCACTTTGATCCGACTCAAATCGAAAATACAAACCGCTCAAAATACTGTTCAAAATTAACTATTTAATTAGTGCAATTTTAACACATTTTCTCAACATGTAAAAAAGTAAAAATTCTTGACAAAAATGCACACAATACTTAGCTTACACGGGAAAGCTTTTAATTACTATGATCGACCGGCGTGGATAGAGGATTTGTCAAATACGGAGTATATATCAAGGCGGAGGTCCAATACGATGTAGACGCTGAGATAGGTCGTCGGATGACAACTAATTAAAACTTAAAACTTAAAAGCACTTCGGATATTAGCCTGAAGATCTTAGATTTTCTATCGAGATTTTGTTTGTCATATTATACTTGCTAATTATTATCATATACGGAGTATATTAATTCATGTACATTTGTTATAGGGACCTTTTTTATATGGTCCATTTGGAAAACTATCATGCATTTCGTGATTTCGATCATCTGTTGCAATAATGTTATGTACAAATTTAAAGTCCAGCAGTCTCCATTACATGGTGGTGCATGGAGATCCAAATCGTTTCCTTCAACCCCACACATTATAAACATAGAACTAAATGGGTCATAATAAACATACATGCATGACAAATTAAACTAAATTTGGTCACCCATTTGAAAATTTTGAATAATGGTCAATTTTTTGAGATTAAAATTAAATATGGTGGTGTGGGCGTATATGCAATGAAAAGTGTACCGTTCTGTGTATAAGTTTATCGATCTAAAGGAGTGTATGGGTTTGCTTAAAAAAAACGCTTTTCAGGGTTTGGTTTAAAAAAGTTGAAAAGAGTGTTTTCAAATGACAGCTTCTGCTTAAATTAATGGGAAATTTCCCGGGATACGACTAAAACTCATTGAGTTTATCAATCTATGACTAACTTAGTTTTGTTACATTTGTATGACCGAAAATCCAAACAAAAAGTAATATTTCGTTTATATTTAATTGTTGAATAACGAAAATACCCTTATTTAAAATACGTGCATTTTACACTAATTTCGTTCATTAAAATTACTGCACTTTATATTGTCCTTAATGCACGTCCTCAATGCACGACATTACTGCAGGTTCGGTAATAATCACTGCACTTCCGCCAAAATTAATTCTCTTCTCAATCACTTTACACAAAAACTTTCTTAATACATTCATTCACTGCCATGTAAAACATTTTATTGTCATATTCAGTGCCAAACTCAACAATACATATGATGATATTCACTGTCCATATTCAATGCAAATATTTAATGTCCACAAACCCCAATTTTAAAAACTCCAAATTTCAAAATTAGAAAAGTGAATGAATAGATCCAAAGCACACCCATCTTCACGTAACACCAACGCCCCCCACTCATTCCAAAGCATGTGCTCATAAAGCAGCAGCCCACCAAACTGTACAGAGGGATACAGAGTCGCACAAAGCATGAGTCCCCATTCTGCGTCTCTATAGAGGAGCGTTTCTCGAGATTGAGCGCCCCATTACGTTGGGTT